AGATTGCGCAGATCGAGTCAACCATCACCGTCGGCTGGTTTACGACCATCCGTGCTGAAGGAATGTCACGTATAGTTTTCAAAGTTCTCTCGTCCTCAATGTTACACCGAGAATGGGTGAACCGCATGATGCCTCTAGGATCACGTTTTCTCTGTCCTATTACATTGGATCAAACTTCTCCCGATTCGGGAGGTTTACGGCGAGCACTTACACGTGATCCCTCCAACTCGACGAAGAGTTGCAGCTACTGGAGTCGATACAAGGAGATGGGTTTGGGTAGTTTGTAATGAATCTCAGGCGAACTGCTGTTTGAGTTTGCGGGGCACAATATTCCTGCGACTTGAGATCTAATTCGACTTGGAGAGGTTTGGAGGTCATAAGTTGGATTGGATATCACTTGTTCTCCAGTCGGAGATGTGAAATCGATAGTTATCGATAAACCAGAAGTTTTGCTGCGGTATCCGGTTGAGAAAGCCCACGGGCTGCACCCAGCGAAATTGCTTATTTGAATTGAATATTTCAACTGAAGAAAATAAATGGGTTTATTCAAATAGCTTGTTATGAAGCTTTTAGTTGAATTGAACTCTACGCTGAAAGAAAAAATTAATTTTATCAGCGAATTTTAGTTGAAGCAAACATCATTTGGTTGTTAATTCTCAAATTAACTTGATTTCATAGTGAATACCAGTTATCTCTTCTTGAGATACATTTGACTGGGTGAAATCGAACTTCTCTAGAATTGAAGTTCCTTTTATTTGTCGCAATAATGAGAGTATTTGCTTTCTTTCTAGCCAAAAGTTTGCCAACTCCAGGAATTCGTTGGTTTACTCAAAAATCAAAATTATTCTTATGACTAAATACGTTATTATCTCAATCAACATGATCATACGTTGTTCTCAGTAAATTATAATTGAAGTGAGCATTTCGTCTGTCGAATCAGGATAAATATTGTTACGCGGAAAAAGCTTTGAGATTGTAGTAAGATGTCGTTGAGTTGAAAGAAGTTTATATTTCTTGACTAAAAAAAATCGCATTAGTTTACGATAACAGAATCACAGATTACGGCAATTCAACACAAACTTGGATATCACAAATTTCGTTCAATGTGATGTACGGAAAGCTGAATTTAAACATCGGCTTCATTCGAGAAAACAACATTCAATTAATTCCTCAATGTAATCATCTCCATGAATGCCTGATTTATTCAATTTTCGATGAAAATATTGTTGAAAATGAATTGAAAAATTTGCAATAAAAACTTGTATTTTGGTGCAGACAACCCAAAATTTTTCAATTGAGGAAGCAACAGTAACTATACTCATTTATAAAAAATGCAATTGTCCACTTGTTTCTATTGACCGCAAAACCACAGAAATTGCATCAATTCATCAAATGTTGCAATTTATTTTATGCTCTCTTTTACTTCCTTATCAGGCATTTCCCGAGGAAATAAACCCTGCAGATAGGAGTGGCATCACACAACTTAACACGCTCGTTCAACATGACCTAGGAACCACCCATTGTCACGTATATTCTACATTATCAAATCAACGAGTTCCCCCGTCGTAGGGAGAGAACATCCTCGTCAACACCAGCACACTCGACGAGAATTTTTATCCCTCCTTAAATGAAGAAGATGTCGTAACCAGCTGTCGCCTCGCGAGCTACTGTCTCCTGCACTGAGAGTATTCATATATGAACATCATAAAGGAAAAAAAACTATTTTAGTTCTCAGGGACCTGCGGCATTTTAAAATTCAACGAGTGAGGAAACCTAAAATCAAGTGATTTTATCACTATGCGGAGGGAAAAGGTGCACTCCAAAAATAGAGTGTTTGACGCTCATCTGAATTTCAAATGGCAGACAAAAACAGACGTCGGAATCATCATAAATGTCTGAAAGTCGGTAAAATGTCTGACAATTTCAGAAACCACTGGTTTCTGAAAAGGACTCAAACATTTCTTTCATGTGAAACTTTTCAAACGTTTAGTTCTGATGTTAGTTCTCTTACTTCTGAAATTCCGTTATTTATTAGTCATTATGATATTTAAAAATTAATGTTAAAAAAAACATGACATTAATATTAATTTTTATGTTAATTTATTAGTTATTGTTATTAACATAAAAATTAATGTTAATGTTAATTTTCTATGGAAAATTAATGAATGTTAGAGTTCCGAATACATTTTACAATTTTCGGAAAAATCGCCTTGATCTTGAAAAATTCACCATTCATCTCGCATTTTTTTCCACGGCCCACAGTCCAAAAAACCTAGAACTGAATTTCATTCTACGATTACTTGATTTGTTTTATAATTTTTTCCCATTTTTTTACACCGTCTACTAATTTCAGTGACATTTTTATCAATTAGTAAATAAATTCAGTAGCGAAGTGGTCAAACAGTTTAAGTCGCTTTTGGCTATTGGCTAGTTTTCAATGAATATCTCGAAATCTAAGGGAGATAGCAAAATTTTTCTCATAACCTTTTTAGTAGGACTCATTACACTTTACAAAAAAGGTTATTATAAAAATTTCGCTATCTCCCTTCAATTCGGAAATATTTGTGGAAAACTCACCTAAAGACTAAATTGACTTGAACTGTTTGACCACTTCGCTACTGAATTCTAGTCGTGTCAGTAATAATCGTTAAAAATTAGGGATAAATTTCCACTAATCGAAGATCGACTCGAAAGAATTACGGAGATAGTATTAGTAGAAAGTCAAACTGTGTTCATCCACCCGCGGAAAAATTCCAATCTGAAAACCCCCTAATGTTTCCGCGGCTTGACCTTTCTGAAAGTGCCAATTGAATTCGTATATAGAATCCTGAAATCCCTGGGTGCAGTCGACATTTCTCCAGTTACAAATAAGGTTTTTGTGTGGTGGTGAGAATAATTGTGTGGTGCCGAGAAAGATCGTCTCCGTTTACGATGTATATCGGGAAGGGGAAAATTGACGTCTTAAGAGGTCTCTTGTAAAGTCGTTGAAGATTTGTCACCGCTTTTAGTAGGACTTTTCACACTACAAGATACCCTAAAACTCAAGGAGAATCTCGTGAGAGTAGCGCGCACGGAAAGAAATGTAGAGTAAAAATTACGGAACTCACAGTTCGCTCACCGATTACGGAATCGACTCAGAAAATTTAAGTGACGGTATCTCAATTTTTCACAGGAGATTAAGTTCCGTAAAATTTCCTACAACCACATTTCGCTCCGGAATTACGGAAAAAATACGTAATTTTTATTCAATATTTCTCTCGGTGCGAGGAATTATTTGGAGGGGAAAACACAACTGGAATTTTGATCTCCGACGTTTTGTCAATGCACTCTTACAAAACAATTAAATTGTAAATGAATGAAAAATCTTGAATTGGAGAATTTTATTTGATTCAAACATCTAACATATCTTGGTGCACCTTGTAGAATTATTCCACCCCCAGCCATGCCCCAGGGTACTCCAAAAACTGAGTAAAATTCGTCCCCCATACCCCCAAATGCTCGAGCTGCAAAATTAAAGAGTCCAAGCTCAAACAGATTCCCAGCCCCGGGGAACCTGTGAATGCAACATGAATGCGTATGTTTCTCTTTTATAGTACCCCTCAGGGAATTTAAATTGAAGATGACGACCATGTTGCAAGTAATATAATATCATGACCCCACGCGAGATCTTGAGTTTTGTGGCCCTCCGATTCCCTCACATGCATTCTCCCGTCACGTCTGAAAAGGCCCGCAGAACACATCCAACACAATTTCTCTGACACTTGCTCTCCATTATCCTGCGGTGCGGTGTTTTACGATACACGCGATCCGGGCAATTGACGGACGACTGAAGTACCAATATTGATCCGATCAATTTCCCGATTGCGAGCGTGCAATCAAATCCGTGACGAGAGAATGAATGAAAAGCGATTATCAATTGATTGAAACACTTTGTGAGGAATTAGTGAAATTGACACATTCAATAGCACATGGGACGCACTTGTTACACGAGCGGAAAATAAATACATTTAGTGTGACAAGTTGGACTGACTGTTGCACTGTTGCACTGAGAGAAAAATATGATTCTTCTGACTATATTCCATCACCATCGAATTATAGTCAAAAAGTCCTCAACAATTTTTCATGGGTTGCGGTAACTGCCGGAGAAGTAATTACTACAATGGAATGTAGTCATTGCAACTATTTTATAGTTCTACTCACGATAGATTTGTCGTGGTTAGTGATGCCGCGAGACATTTCACCAGCCATCACGAGACAATACTTTGGAGAGATTGCCTCGGTCTCAGTGAACACGCAAATTTTTGGTCTCATCTCCGTCTAGAAATACGCAGTGTCGGCTTCTCTCGTGATGACTTCGAGTCAATTTATCTCATCTCGGTTTCCAGTTTTTCGCATTTTTTATCTGTAGAAAACCGAGACGAGACAAACCGAGACTAGTCGTGGTTACTTTTGAATTTTGGTTAGTTTAACTGCATTCTGATTTGCAAAAATTACGCTTGTGAAGTTACTATAATGTTATGTGCCGCATACAAAAAAAAATCGTATCATTCACCAAAACTGCCTCAACTATTTTCTTATTGTAAATCGAACTCCTGTTTTTTTTTTCCTTGAAATTTCAGTGGTCATTAAATTTCAAGGAATCGATAAAAATTTCCAAAAAGTGTACCGGCAATTTCAGAAAAAAATTTTCAACACTAGTTGAATTTTCATAAATATGTTCTTCTCGCCATACAGTTATTCATTGAACCGCAGTCGAAAGCTCCGCTTCCCGCACATTCCCCAAAGCTTCCTTCCCAAAATATGCGCGAACTACCAATTTGTCCCAAAATGTTGAATTATTGACGACCACGGGACCCTCGTATGTACCTAACAAATCTCGTTTCACGTACACGACTCTCGTGGCACTATCTCATGCTTCTGACGCTCAACGTGCAGTTGCCTAAAATAAACTGGGACGTAAATACCGGGTGAAATTGAATCGTTCCTCCGCTGAACACGAACCTCTCGCTAGTATCACGCTTCATACCCTGGAGTGCTTGCAGTTCCCGCATTCACACTCCCCTCACAACAGTTTACATTAAATAAATAAATAAATAAAAAGGGAATAAATCCGTCAGAAATATGTTCACAAAGGTTTGTAAAGTGTGCGCGTGAAAATATTCGCAAAAGCGAACGCAAAGATCATCGAAAATCATTCTTGAAGTGAGCAAACCCAGACAGCAGAACTCAAACAGAAGTGAATACGGAAATTATGGAGCCAGATCCATATTACAGACAACTATGCTCCTCCGAGACGCTGCGTTCCGGGTCGAAAGGCTTCTTCCGGGACTTCACAGAGGCAGTGGTAAACAATGCAGGAGACACTTGGATTGCTAAAGTGTTTGGCGAACTCGACGGCGACGACGAGCGCATGCGGGTGATATTTACCGACCCGAGAATCAAGAATTCGGTCGTGAATACGCTGGACAGGGTTAGACATATCTACAGAGACAAAGACGCGCGAATTTCGAGGAGCAAGCGGCTCGAAGGTCTCAGTCTTGGTCGTTCGTTTTTTTGTTCAGTTGTGAGGACGAATTTTCAAGATCAAGAATGTCACTTGCAAATTTGAATAAATTCGTTATTTTTTTTTAATGATGAGGGTTGTTTGAGGTTTATATTAGGAATGATGGAATGCGAAATTTTAATGTGGATTATGTTTATTGAAATTTTTCGTGAATTGATGCAAGTTCAGGAATTTTTGATTTGCTACCACGCAAAAAATAGAATTGTCATTCAATTTTTAGGGAAATTGATGAAGACAAATATTCAAGATGAGATTTAATGCAGTTTAGCAATTTTTTTTACAAGTGAATGTTCTACGGAAATTTCAAGGGATTTCGTCACTGAAAATTCTCGCGGATTTCGAGGAGCAAGCGGCTCGAAGGTCTCAGTCTTGGTCGTTCGTTTTTTTGTTCAGTTGTGAGGACGAATTTTCAAGATCAAGAATGTCACTTGCAAATTTGAATAAATTCGTTATTTTTTTTTAATGATGAGGGTTGTTTGAGGTTTATATTAGGAATGATGGAATGGGAAATTTTAATGTAGATTATGTTTATTGAAATTTTTCGTGAATTGATGCAAGTTCAGGAATTTTTGATTTGCTACCACGCAAAAAATAGAATTGTCATTCAATTTTTAGGGAAATTGATGAAGACAAATATTCAAGATGAGATTTAATGCAGTTTAGCAATTTTTTTTACAAGTGAATGTTCTACGGAAATTTCAAGGGATTTCGTCACTGAAAATTCTCGCGGATTTCGAGGAGCAAGCGGCTCGAAGGTCTCAGTCTTGGTCGTTCGTTTTTTTGTTCAGTTGTGAGGACGAATTTTCAAGATCAAGAATGTCACTTGCAAATTTGAATAAATTCGTTATTTTTTTTTAATGATGAGGGTTGTTTGAGGTTTATATTAGGAATGATGGAATGGGAAATTTTAATGTAGATTATGTTTATTGAAATTTTTCGTGAATTGATGCAAGTTCAGGAATTTTTGATTTGCTACCACGCAAAAAATAGAATTGTCATTCAATTTTTAGGGAAATTGATGAAGACAAATATTCAAGATGAGATTTAATGCAGTTTAGCAATTTTTTTTACAAGTGAATGTTCTACGGAAATTTCAAGGGATTTCGTCACTGAAAATTCATAATTTTATCAAAAAATTAATGGAAACTGTAAATTTCAGTTCAATTGTTTTATGAAAATTCATGGAAATTAGGAAAAGAATAGAATTATTGTTGAATATTTAATGAATTGAAAATTGAGAGTTTTTTGGTACTGAATATTCATATTTTCATTGAAAATTCAAGTAACTTTGGCGAATTTCGTGTTTCTGTCACTCAAAAATTTGGATTCTCATCGAATTTTTAATTAAATTTACAGTTTTATAATTTCTCGTTTTGAAGTCGATTCAACGCAGAAAAAAATGCTGAAATTTTACATTCCACTGAAAATTAAATAAAAATTCCCTACTTTTGAGCAGCAGAATAACGTGAATTCCCCAACTCCATTAAATTTTCCTGAATTCTATTAATTTGCGTGGAATAACTAAACTGTCATTGACAGTTTCCATTGATTTTTTCATCAAATTGTGGATTCCCAACTAACAAATTCCTTGAAATTCCATCTTGAAAATTAATACGAAACGCATCAATTAAATATATACTATTTTATTACCCCAAGAAGTTATTTCTCTGATAACAAATCATTATTCTTCTCAATGCTTCTTATTTGAGCACTCCATAAATTATTTCATCACGCGAACGTCTAAGTTGTCCCATCATTACAGGTATACAATATTGTCGTTCTGGAGAGAATAAAAAGGCTCTGATACTACTGAGCCAGGCGGTGCTCCGCGCGCCGATGACAGGTAATGAACACCCGCTGATCCAATTTCCCCCCGTTTGTGAAATCCATGATCCAGGACAACTCGTAATCAACAATTTCAAGAGAGAATTCTCTTTGTCCGCAAATTTCATTGTTTGTTCCTCGGCAGGTCGAGTGAAGGCAATCGATGAAGGGTACAGCTTAGCATTGGCTTTGGTGGCACGTGCGGACGTACTAATTGCACTCGGCGAATTTCAGAGGGCTGTTGATGATTTGAGAGCAGCCGGAGAGGAGCAGTTGCCTAACGACTTCAGGTATTAAAGATTAAGAACAATATTTTACTAATAAATGCACGGAATTTGTGGGAACGTATTGACGTGTGTGGGGCATAAAAACTAGTGAAAAGTTCAATAGAAATTCAATAGAATTTTCCAGCCAGTGATAGGCATATCAATCAATTATAATTAGCGTTAAAATTTTCACGGAGGCATTCACAGACATTTGAATAACCTAAATCAATTTCCGTTTGTTTTCCGTGAAAGGGGAAGGGGATGAATGAACTCAACCGATTTCGCAATGGTATTCTTTGTTTGACAAATGGAAATTTTGTGGTGAGTGCACGGAGGGAAATATTCAGTAAAAATTAAGGAACAATTCACGTAATCCGCAATGGGGAATCGTTTTCCGGAAATTTTTACAGGAATGGAAGAGAAGAAATCTGAAACTTTCAGTGAATTTTCAGGTTCATCACCGAACAAAGTACGAAATTGTCACGTAATTTTTCCCGAAGAAGTAAAATCTTACAGAAATTCGCCGACTTATTATGCCTCGAAAATCAAAAAATCTTGAACGTTCAACAATTTTTATGAAGCTGGTGAGTTATTTCCACGTTCCGTTCCGTTAAATTGCTCAATCGTTGGGGAAAAATTACGGAACGAGTTGTTGTCTCCACAGCGGTGAGTCATCAGACGGGTGGTTAATTTTTACGGAACAAATCGTAGAATTTACGTGGCGATTCGTACAATTTCAGTTCTGACTCACACTTTTTATTGAATTTTACTTCGCTCGCGGATCACGTTTTGAAACGTAATTTTTACGTTTTTTTTTGGTAATCTTTCTGAATTCTCTCCGTATGGGTTTACTATTGGCTCACAAAGACAGGAGTATAGAATGAGGAAGTCTCATAACAGCTGCCCCATCGCTGTACAGCAGAGCCTATGAAAATTGCGACCCTTCATGTACCATAAATATGACGAATTTCGCGTCACGCAATAGCTGAAGTGCACGCCTCCCTTGACGCTGGCAGCGATTGAATTTTCTAGCGAATTCCCTAGATTTTTCTATAAAATTTTGTCATGCGTGTGCCTTTGCCATTCCCGAACAAAAGGGAACACAACTCGGAATTATTCACAGACATTTGAATAACGTAAATCAATTTCCGTTTGTTTTGCCTGAAAGGGGAAGGAGATGAATGAACACAACAGATTCCGTAACGATATTCTTTGTTTGACAAATGGAAATTTTGTGGTGAGTGAATTTGCTATTTTGGCTCACAAAGACGGGAGTGCAGAGTGAGCAAGTCCCGTAACAGTTGTCCCATTGTCATAGTCACCGAGGGAAATCTCGGGCGAGTGATGCACAGTAGAGCCTATGAAAATTGCAATCCTTCATGTAACATAAATATGACGAATTTCGCGTCACGCAATTGCTGAAGTGCATGCCTCCCTTGACACTGGCAACGACGTCTGCAAGTAGACTCTCGAGACAGTACTTTTCGTAAAGGCATAACAGAATGCCGCTAATTTCCCAAATTTTTGAACATATTTCCTGCTGAGAGTTATCGATATTTCTTAAAATCAAAGCACGTTGATCTCCAGGAAGTGATGATAATGATCAATGTGGTCTGGGTTGAAAAAATATTGATAACTTTGGGCAGGAAATTTGTTTGATTATTTTTCTCACTCGGATTTCAGCCAATCAGAGCGCAGTATTTGAGGCTGTCGAACAGTTTTATTTCGGTAATTCACTAGTAGCTTTGCAAATGTTTCTCACCTTTCAACGCATTTCACGTTTAATATTCTGTGTGGNTTCAAATCGATTTGTGAAGTTAAAGAGCTGAAACTTTGCAATTATCCACCGGCGAAAGCTTCTGCCTTGAATAGAGCTCGATAAATAATTGCATCCATCGACTGCCGCGTGATTAAAGGATCGCATGCTATTCGATGGGATTTCCACAATACCTGCGTCATGAATGGATTTCTCTCATTCTTGAAGACTGAGAGGTAACAGAAAGCCACAGTTTCCTTGAAATTTTCAGTAGTAATACCATTAGTGCTTCAAAATTATCGGATATTTTCCGATAGCTTCGTTGCCTAGGAACGATTGTGCCAAATTTTGCAGAAAAATCCCACGTGCTTCGCACTCGGGATTTTAAACCTGAAAAATTTGGCACAATCGTTCCTAGGCAACGAAGCTATCGGAAAATATCCGATAATTTTGAAGCACTAATGGTATTACTACTGAAAATTTCAAGGAAACTGTGGCTTTCTGTTACCTCTCAGTCTTCAAGAATGAGAGAAATCCATTCATGACGCAGGTATTGTGGAAATCCCATCGAATAGCATGCGATCCTTTAATCACGCGGCAGTCGATGGATGCAATTATTTATCGAGCTCTATTCAAGGCAGAAGCTTTCGCCGGTGGATAATTGCAAAGTTTCAGCTCTTTAACTTCACAAATCGATTTGAATGCGCGAGAGAACACTCGGGGAAGAAATTACTTGTATTTAAGAGTTATATATTGCGCGTGAAGAATATTTTATCGACACTCTTGGATAAAAACAGAGATTTCATGGGCAATTGAATAGCAATTTTCAGGAGAAGGACAATGAATTCTATTGAGAGGAGAAGAAATTATGTAATTTCATGTTCCACTTGAAATTCAATAGAATTTTGCATTTTTGAGCTGCAGGAAGACGAAAATTTCTTAACTACTTTCAATTTCAAATCAAAACATTAACATTCGGTATCAAATCACGCTTTCTCAATTAATTGAAATTACATTGAGAGATGACTAGGAATTTTCGGAAGGGTAACAGTCAATTCGATTGAAGGGGACAAATATTGAAATTTCCCATTTTTTTAATTTTTAATGAAAACATGAATAATTAGTACCTAATGATGCTGCGTTTTACTATTAATTAATTGCTTATTCCTGCTTTCTATTAATTTTCATGGAAAAATTAAATTAAAATTCAAAGTTCCCATTAATTTTTTCATAAAATTTTGAATTTTCAACTACAAAATTCCTTGAAATATTTTTTTTCAGCAACGTTCGGCAATTATTTATTGAGATTTCATGGACAGTTGACAAATAAACTTCATCCGTGTAACATTGAATTCAATTCAAGTGGAAAAAATCCTAAAATTTCAAATTGCAGTGAAAATTCAATAAAATTTCCCTTGTTTTAAATGTTCAATCAAAAAATGAATCGTCAGTGCAAAATTATGCTGAATTTTGCCATTAATTGAAAATTCAGGAATATCTTTCCTTGAATTGTCCTGCTTTCTATCAATTTCCATAGAATTTTAAATATTCAATGACGATTCTGATTCCTTGAAATTAAGTGGAACAATAACGTGATAAAAATTTCCATCAAGTCTACCCGAAATTTCACCCATCAATTTTTAACCGTGAAGAAGAACAGATTTGCTCGTGGTAAATGAGTTAAATCTCCTCGACGGAATCAATATTCCCCAATAAACCAGACCTTCCGTCAAAAATTTCGCTGGTCCTCTAGAAAATCCCATAAAAAACAAATAAAAAGTTCACGCAGAGTAATGATGCAAACGTGACGTCCTTGCGGCGATATTTTCCTCATCCGCATGCACAGTCCCTCGTAAATTTGGTGAGATATCACGGTGACAACGTGAGCGGCATCAGATCGCGTTGCATATGAATCCAGTGGCTAACGTGAATCCTTCCATAACCTTGCCGGACATTAGCCACAAAAACCCATTACCCCGGAAATATAATTCCGATTATCTGCACTACGTGCCTTATCCCGCGATTTATTCCGAAATCAGTTTTGTGTCACGGGAGTGGGGGAACAAGAACCTCCGGTTTTAATGCACACACGTATTATGTAACTTTGTGATCACGAGTGTTTTCCTGGGGCATGTCTTTTTGTTGACATTTCCCCTCATCTTTCTTACGCGGAGGAGAAACTGCAGGAGAAATTACGTGACAGCTCACTTCATCGGGGGATTGATTGTTAATTTCGGGAATTTTTACGGAAAATCGACAAGAAACTGAGGATTAATATTAATGTTTTGCTTTGAAACGTTATTGAAACGAAGGATATTTGGGAGTTAATGCCCTTGAAAAAATTTTTTTTTAACTTCGTTTGGGTCGGGAAAAATGTATTAATCCAGATTTTGGACCTGATATAAGCAGAAAAGTCGATTAGTTCAGGAAGAAACGTGTCTAATGCCGAAATCGACTCAATTCACATCGATTTTTCGACTTGATTCAAGTAGATTTTTCGGCTTGATTCAAGTCGATTTTTCGCCTTTATTGAAGTCGATTTTTTGGCTTGATTTGAGGTGATTCTAGGTGATTCTTCTTATATATGGGGCGGTCGAAAAATCGACTTGAATCAAACCGAAAAAACGACTTGAATCAAGCCGAAAAATCGAGTTGAGTCAAGCTGAAAAATCAACTTGAATCAAGCCGAAATTCGAATTGCATTAAGCCAAAAAATTGACATGCATCAAATAAAAAAATTGACTGGAATCAAGCTAAAAAATCTACTTGAATCAAGCCGAATTTCGACTTGAATCAAGCCGAATTTCGACTTGAATCATGCCGAAAAATCGACTTGAATCAAATCGAAAAATCGGCTTAGGTTAAACCAAAATTCAACTTGAATCAAGCTGAAAAATTGACTTATATCAAGTCGATTGCGGTTTGATGCAAGTGGAAAAATCGACTTGAATCAGACCGATGTGCCAGTGTGCATTTCTTCGAGTCAGACTTGATTCATGCCGATGATCCGGCATGAAATAAACGGACCCCCGGCATAATTCAGTCCGACTTGATTCAAGCCGATTTGTCGGTTTGATTCAAGACGAATTTTTTGGGAGGTTTATTTGAATTAAATAAACTTTATTAGAATCAAATCAATCCTCTACTAGAATCAAATAAACAACTTATTCGATTCAAATAATGTTTATTCAATTGAAATAAACCATTTTTCTGCGTGTAAAATTCACTGATGATCGGGGTTATTCGGAGTAGTGTCCTGTATCACCAA